CCCCCCATTATCTTTATGGCCCCCACCCGCCGCTCAGGGTGGGGGAGGGGGGGGGACAATAGGTCCGCCCCCCCTTATTGTAATTTACGTCTTTTTTTTTCAACAGTGAGCAGCCATAGGCTGCTCACTGTTTAGTAGACATGCCCCTACTCGCGGTATAGTGAGTAGGGGCATTTGGGAGATTTAAATCTCTCTTGTGCTATTATGGGGTCATATTGACCCCCATAGAGTGAGAGGGGGTACTGGGGGGCTTATGAAGTGGTGGGGAGCACTGCTCCCTGCCGCTTCTATAGTTACATATTACAAGGAGGGAGCTGCACGCCGGTAGCTCCCTCCTTGTAATAAACTGCACGAACAAACATACATTGATACATTGTGTTTGTTTGTTCGGCTGATCTTTCTATTCACTCATTCGTCTGTCTGATGAATGAATGAATAGATGAAATTCCCGTTCGCATTTCCAGGTGTTTCACTGGGCATGTGCGGGAATCTCACAGTCTGTCTAGTGTGGGCAGATGACGTGTCCCACAGGGACTTCACCTACCCACACAAAGATGGCGGCGCCCTGAATCAAGATCGGGGCAGAAAATAAGGATTAAAAATTAGGTAATGTGGGGGGCTTAGGGGCATTTGGGGGTGACTAGTGGGTCAATTGGATGTAGTGGAGGCGGAGGTTAAAAACGGGTTTCGCATGACAGTGCCGCTTAAAGTGATCATTTATAGTGCCAGGAAAACATACTGTTTTCCTGGCACTATAGTGCCCTGAGGGTGCCCCCACCCTCAGGGGTCCCCGCTCCTGGAAGGGAAAGGGGTTAAATCCTACCTTTTTCCAGCGCTGGGCGGAGAGCTCTCTGCCTTCTCTCCTCCTCCGATCCTCCTCCTGGGCTGAATGCGCACGCGCGGCAAGAGCTGCGCGCGCATTCAGCTCGTCGCATAGGAAAGCATTTACAATGCTTTCCTATGGACGCTGGCGTGCTCTCACTGTGAAAATCACAGTGAGAAGCACGCAAGCGCCTCTAGTGGCTGTCAATGAGACAGCCACTAGAGGATTAGGAGGAAGGCTTAACCCATTAATAAACATAGCAGTTTCTCTGAAACTGCTATAATTATGAAAATGGTTAACTCCCTAGAGGATTTGAGACCTCACTTCTATTAAGCTGAAGTGGTTCAGTGCCTAGAGTGTAGTCCTTTAAAGGTAGGCATAATGTAATAGAGCAGCAGGAAATGCTAGCAGAATGCTTGGTTGTATAGGGAGAGGTATTAGCAGTCGAAAGAGGGAAGTGCTCATGCCATTATACAGAACACTGGTGAGACCTCACTTGGAGTATTGTACACAGAACTGGAGACCGTATCTTCAGAAGGATATTGATACCTTAGAGAGGGTTCAGAGAAGGGCTACTAAACTGGTTCATGGATTGCGGGATAAAACTTACCAGGAAAGGTTAAGGATCTTAACATGTATAGCTTGGAGGAAAGACGAGACAGGGGGGATATGATAGAAACATTTAAATATATAAAGGGAATCAACACAGTAAAGGAGGAGACTATATTTAAAAGAAGAAAAACTACCACAACAAGAGGACATAGTCTTAAATTAGAGTGGCAAATGTTGAAAAATAATATCAGGAAGTATTACTTTACTGAGGTGGTGGATGCATGGAATAGCCTTCCAGCTGAAGTGGTAGAGGTTAACACAGTAAAGGAGTTTAAGCATGCGTGGGATAGGCATAAGGCTATCCTAACTATAAGATAAGGCCAGGGACTAATGAAAGTATTTAGTAAATTGGGCAGACTAGATGGTTCTTATCTGCCGTCACATTCTATGTTTCTGTGGATATGAAGGCCCCAACAGGACACTGTGCAACGCACCTTGCTCAGAGTCACAGGGCAAGCCTGCTTGAACTCAGGTGATTTGGCCAGAGCCATCTTTTCAGCTCTGTAATATCTGTGGTGCTAAAGCTGAGCGTTTTGTTTTCCAGGACACATTTGCTCGATCTATACACAACTTTTCCGGGGTTTGAAGGAGCATCGGTTTATATAAAGTCACAATGTGTTGTCTCAATGTACTACCCATCCTTTATCTGAACCACCTGTTAAAATACTCCTGAAATCCCGGTGGGGTCTTATGTGACCTGTACCGTCTTGTGTGCCAGACCTCTCAGTAAAGTGGGAGTTACAGGGACGGCCGATAAAAAATGATCCAATTCTCTGATCTGGCCAGTGAAGTATAATGTGCGCATGTGTTTTTAATACAGTAATCAATCCATCAATTGTCGCCTTCATTTATCCAAAGCTGGCTCCGACTCCAAGACAGATTCCTTCATTAAAAGCAGATGGAGTTCATGAAATGACCGATTTCTCAGACAGACATAATGTGTATCTGTTGTCTGCCATCTTAGATCAGTTATGGGTATTTAACTATATTAACGAGATTTAAAGGGACTGTATCACTGTAAAGTTGCTTATAGGACCCAGCAGTCCCAATCTCAGAGACAGTCCTGATTTGAGACTATTAACCCACTGTCCGAGGTGCTATGTGTGTATGGACCATACAGTAAGTTGTACCCCCATTGCCTTGTTATATTACTGAATGAGAGGGTGGGTTTATATTGCGGTGATCTGTGTGAATCCTTGCCGCTAGAATAATAGAACGATGGGAGCCACTGAGCAGGTCCTTCCAGCATCATAACAGAATGAATATGGATGGAGCTGCACCTGCTTCCAGATTATATTACTGTACCATTTCCAGACTGTATGGGCCACATGTTATATACCTTGTTGGTGTCATGGGTGTTGTTGATTATGAGTTGGAGAGCCTCTGATGGCCACACCAGGGTCCGACTGGCATATGTGTAACAAAAACAGGAAAATGTCTCCTCTGCACTCGCCAAAATATCTGAATATATGTCTAAATGTCCAGTTTTTGGTTTCTACACATACAGCCCTAACAGTGTTTTGCTAACTCAGTAAAATAACAAGGAACTGCTAATATGTTTATATAGCCCAAATCCTGTGCTCCCTGGGAGGAGTACCATCACTGTGACGTATGGTAGTAGATTAGTGAATGAGACAAGGACAGCGAACCCTCAGTTAACAAGCTCCTTGCGATATTCGTGACCCACGGATGTGGTTTGTGCGGTGAACAGGCCGTAATATTTAAATACTTTGCAGGGAAAGTTCCATTCACAGAAAGCTGGAGAATGCTTTTCAGTTTTCCCATCTTTATATATCACGTGATATTTTCTGTGCGCACTTCTAGTTAGTATAATTTCACCATAACGCAATTCTATTCAGTATTTTGATTTTGGAACGTTAAAGTGTAAGGATTTTAATAAATACGTATTAACTTGCGGCTGGTTATTGGATGCTAAGTGATTGCCATTCTAGCTATGTTCACACGCAGCTCGTTGTTGGTTACAGTTATTTTGCCAGTTGCGGCCATTCCCTGTGTGAGTTGGAGTTTAGCCCAATGGAAGGGAAATTGATGAGGCCTCATCCTGCACCCGTTCTTAAATTCACGGCCATTCGTCAAAGTGCACCGACAGCATCCTGGCATGGAACCAGCAAACCTCTCACTTTTACTCTGAAATCCTCCCTTCATTCCCCAGCCGCTCGTCAACCATCTGTAAGTTACCCATAATGCCTAGCAAGCCAGCCCCCTGGGGGCATTTGTACAGAGAACAATTGATGTTCTGAAGATGCGCCGCCCTCTCTGTTGGAGCCCCTCTTTTCCTGATGGGTTTGTGATCAAGCCATACAGCCGCTTGCTGACTGACTGACACTCTTACTTACAGACATGTAATTATTACCATCATTACTCATTTTAATGCCATCTTATTTTTTTTTAATTGTTCCCATCATCATTCACAGCAAATCAGAGGGACCGTTATGGCCTGGCCTGCTACAGGCGTCTGGCAACCCTTTAACCCTTTCTGTGCTATGCTGGCTGAGGTCTAGCAGTATTGTTACATGATAGCATGGCATATCATGGCCCCCCGGACATCGCAGCACCAGTACCTGTATCGGATATCGTTTGGATGCTTATAGAGATACAGTTCCTGGCAGTTTATTAATGTGGGGATGTGAGAAGATTTCACAGGGGTTAGATGTTTAAATCATCTTAAAAAGGCAGTGTGAGCAAGGAATTGTCTGTCAGCAGGGGTGGCAGGAGAAGGGTTAGTGTGTCCTAGAGCAATAGGATCAATGGGAATGTGATTTATTGAGGATGAGATTCTCTGTCTACACTAAACCAAAAGAAAACACCCCAAAAGCAATGATTGGGGGGAACGTGGTTAAATAAAATTACATCAGCAGCACCCATTTAACAGCTTTAACAATACCATCATGTCTGTTCTAACAGGAACCGCTTATTACTTACTGTCCAGTTTGTATAACTTTAAATAGAGACTTAAAAATTTTTTTTAAATTGCTAAAACAATGTAATCCAACATGCCTCCTAGCCATCAGATCACTGTTATTCCACCGTTATCACAGATTATCAATGCGAGCTAGCTGCCCACGGCTGCTTTCCCTGCTAACAATGGCGGGTAACCTACTCAGAATTAAAATGGATTTGGCCGAAAACCTCGACCACCGCCCCTTAAAAACACTGAGATCCCAGGACGTATCTGTGAACTAGTGGAAGTGAAATGTCTTTTTCATGGGTACATTTATTGTTTTTTGGTCAGACCTTCTCTCTGCAACAAACTCTTATTACGTATCTGCAATCCGTGTTGGCCCCAATTCTTTGTAAGGTTTGCTCAACGTTTGACTATGTAACATTTTGGTTGTATCCTTGGATTGTTTGTGATCTGCAGTAATTCCTAGAAACAGTTCTAATGGAGAATGAATTGTTTTACCTGTGCAATGCTTAGTGAATATTCCCCTAGACATACAG